AGTATCACGATAAAGCTTAAATTATCTTTTTTGATCCATTGAAGCATTTTCTTGACACTTGCTCAATATGAACCCTTCATAACTTTTGTTCATGAGTTCAATTAGAGTTGTTTGAGCAAGGTTGCAAAGTTTGTTTGAACTCATATATTTCCATTCACTTGACAACACAATTCAAGCAAGGAGACACTTATCATTCCATGTAACTTTTTAAATTCCAAACTTTATGAAATTCTTCCAAGATTGTGAACTAGAGCCCATGATTATCATTTGGCATAACTTATTTCAGTCCAAACCCACTGCTTAACTGGTGACAAACACCTGGGGTGTTACAGATGTGGCGCTAGAGGCGGCGGGCATGTTGTGGGGGTTAGTAGCCTTGTCTTGCGCCGATCACACCATTGTCGGCGACGGCATCGTCGAGGGGGCTGTGGATGAAGAGACTCATAGCGCTTCTCTGCGGACTGCGGGAGGGTAGGTTGTGAAATTTTAAATTGGGGAATTGGGGAAGCGGTGCACCGGATCGCTACCGCGGATGGCTGCTGACCGAGGTCGACGCAAGGTCAACAAGAAGAACTCCAGACAGCCTAGGGCCTCCAGCATAAGTTTGCAGAAATTCTCCTAGACTTTACTGTTTTTACACACAAAAATCCATGAGTCTTTGCCGGTTTCAGAAAAGCCCTGAAAAACTAGTTTTTATCTACGAAAATGCCCCTGTAAACTGTTTTCGACGGAACTTCCATGTTTTAGTTCCGACGGAACTTGCGCCCACACGATCGTTATAACGAGTTTTACAGTTTATTAGTGTTCTTTTCATGTACTGTTGCTGCTGTTTTATGTATTATTTTACTTATGTCATGATTGTTTGCTTGTATCTAAATATGTGTGCTTATGTGTTCACTACGCTTTGATGGAGATCAGTTCGTGATCACTAAAGAACAAACATTTAAAGAGTCTGAGCAGCTGCAATTTGGAAGAAAAAAATAAGTGCCCTTTAACCATATTGATTACCTAATAACATTTTAATCACTTTGTTTTTATGCATGTATCTAACTTTACAGCGTGAGGGTCGGCGGCCACCGCACGGACGACTGACGAGCAACTGAGTCAGCTGACACCGTAAACGGTCTAAATCTCGTTCCTAATGCAATGTTGGTCTAAATCTTGTTCCTAATGCAATGTAAATGGACCATGCAGGGATGGTTTTCCAACGTATGCACATCTGGCCCCTCTGGTGAGGGTTATCATCTGTGTGGCATGTCGTGGAGAGCATTAATCAAGACCGATTCCGTGATTCGGGTGATCACAAGGACTTCTTTTCTTATGAATGGTTGATCACAAAGTTACAGTTCACAGCCTAAGAGGATGTCACAATATATACATACGGCTAAACAGACAACACGTACAATGAGTGGCTGTCTGTTAATTCTTTAATGTCTACGTGTAGCCATGGAAGTGTAAATATGATTCATGTTACCATTGTGTTGCTTGTTAATAAAAAGATCAAACATAAATAAGATGATATGGTTACAATATTTTTTGGAACCATGAATATAAATGATATATTAATATTATTTATATATAATTAATAGAACAAAATTTTCATGAATCAAATAAAACAAGTTGCAGAGGAACAATGTTTCAAAACAAGCTGGCTGCTAATTGACAGCAGGAGCAATGAAACACATTCACAGTAACAGCATGAGCATGGTCACGTTCACATTTAGTATTCACTAGGTAGATAACATGATCTAAGCAAATTTAAAAGAAAAAAAATTGATAGCATGCAACAGCAAGACATTATCTGAGTAAAGATGTCAACGGGGGGCCGTTCCCCGATTCCCTACGGGGAATTCACCCATTAAAGGACGGGGATGGTATAAATTTTCTCCCCATGGGGAATTAAATAGGGAAAAAATCATCCCTATCGGGTACGACGGGGACAGGGATGGTATGCATGCCCCCGTCCCCGTTCACCGCGGGGACCCGATGCCTCCCTCTCCCTCATGCCCCTCATGCCCCTCATAGCGGCGCGCCCCCGACGCCTCTCCCTCTTCCTCCCTCCACTCTCTCTCTCTATCTCCCTCGGCGGCGCTCCCCTCCCCTCCCCATCTGGCGGCAGCCCCTCCCCTCTCCAACCCGATGGCTGGCGGCGCACCCTCCCCTCCCCTCCGGCGAGGGCTCGTGGCGGCGAGGCCTCCTGGATCAGGAGCACGGCGCCGCGCGCGGATCTCCTCTCCATCCCAGCAACGCCCCCTCCTCTCCCCATCCCGACGGCCGGATCCGGAGCACAGCACAGCGCGGCGCACGACCCGCCTCGCAAACCCTAGCTCTCCCGCTCTCTCCCTCTCCCATGCGCCCCAAACCCTAGCTTGCCGCCCGCCCACGGCCCACCCGCCGGTCATGCACGCCTCCGCCTCCGCGGTCCCCCATGGAAGCCTCCGCCCGCAGATCCGCCGCGGGCCCCGACCCCGGTAGCGCCAAGAAGCCGCGCCTCCGCCCGCAGATCCGCCGCTTCCCCCAATGGTGCTGCCAGCGCCGCCGAGCAAGCGCTGGTCGACGAGCTGCTCGGCCAGTACCGGACCGTGCTCGGGGAGATCACCTTCAACTCCAAGCCCATCATCACCAACATCACCATCATCGCCGGCGAGAACCTCCAGGCTAATGCGGGGATGGGATCCCTGAGGGGATTAAATCCCCGAGCGGGGACGGGGATGGGGAAGAAGTGCTACCCGTGAGCCTTCACGGGGACGGGGACGGGGAAAATTTGCCCCCGCGGGGACGGGGATGGGGCAGTAACCCCCGACGGGGAATTCCCCGTTGACATTTCGGGATCTGAGTCCTTGTCCAACAGCATGCGCACATCTCAGTCCTGCAGTTGCTTCTCCTTTGATGTACAAGCAACAGCAACAAAAGGCAATAGGATGTACCAGCAACAACAAAAGACCAGATCATTTCACACCTTCCTGTAAACAGACAGACTTCTTAGTAAACTTGAATGGAAAAGCTCAATAATATTGGAAATTAGCAGCATACACCAGGTCTCACACATCAGTACACATTCTAGCAGCATACAGAGGAATATTGTGAAGGATAGAAATTAAAAAAGTGAACAGTCATCTCAAAATTGCAAGCCCATCACTGCAGAAACCACAATGTATTTCACTGTATTCTCCTATCAACATCAAAAACTGAAAAGCTGCAATTCATTAGTGTGACAATCATACTGTAAGGAGGTTAAACAGCTTAGACCTTCTAACATTGAGAAATAAACATAAAAAATTAAAAAGTGACAGTTTACATCATTCAGTTTTCAGAGACAGGCTAGGTAACATTCAGTTATCAGAAAAAAAAAGATAACACAAAAGAGGTTCCATTGATGTAAATGCAGTTTAATAGCCCAAGCATCCAAGATTATATATTCAGGTATGAATGAAGAAAGATCCTTAGTAACTTGTACTCTTTGCCATAAGCATTGGACCTTTTTTTTTTTTACTTATAAATCGCTCCTGTCCAGAAAATCAAATGACAGTTCATGCCTTGCAACATTTGCACTGGACTCTGAATCATGAATGGAATGTTCTAAATTTTTTTAGAAGAAAAAAAAAGGTCTGCAACTGTTATCTATCCTGTCCAGAGGGAATTTGTAGAAGAATTTCAGTACTCAGTAGAGATTGCATGCTAGGGAACACCTTGACTAGGCATTCGATGGTTCAGAAGGGAGGGTAGGAACTAGAAAGTCAACCAATGTCTGAAAGCACGCCATACTGCTTCATTATGAAGCTAGAGATCAAACTTGACCAGGGTTACCATCCTAAAATTATTGATCATGCTTCAGTTTTTTCCCTTTTATGCTTTTTTGTCCACTATCCATATCTGACGCCATCTGTACGAACTATTGCTTAATTGGCATAGCCAAAATCTGATCGAGTCTATGACCGAGTAGTCTTCTTCCCCATGGTTTCTTGGGAAAAAAACATAAGAGGTAATTTTAGCAGCAATAAGTAAGGCTAGAAACTAGCAAGCACAATGTTCCAAATGAAACATAATGCAAGTAGTAACAGGATCAGGACCTGAGTCCTAAGGATGTCAGAAGTCAGGACCGGACAAAGATGGCGGCATGAGGGACAGCGCGGCATCAGCAGGGGTGGCGGCAGGCTGGATGGTGTCGCAGGCGGTGGGGCGGGTGACTAGAGGCTCGGGCATGCCGAACTAGAGTGTCCATAACTGACAATATGAACAAGACAGCCACTAGCTCGAGTGCTAGACAAAGTATCATTCCAGCAATATGTCCATAACTCTCCATGACAAAGTATCATTCCAGCAATATGTCCATAACTCTCCATGAGAAACGAAAGGTCAACGATCAACAGTCAACACAAAAGTCAGGCGCTCCCGTACAACAATGTACGTGTGTAACCTGTAAATACGACTCAAGAAGTGGCCATAAGACCTGCTGCCAACGTACCAGCTCCGACAATCAGCGACAAAGCTTTGTTCAAACCACACAGCAGATCATTGAGTCCACCTCTAACTCCCATGACCACTGCTGCAGCAAATGCTTAGCTGAGCTAAGAATCCCTGCGATTGACATTGTGGAAAACTGAGCGACTGAAAGTACTGATGCAGCAAGATGTTTTGAATATTGATATTCTCAAACCACTACTTAAGCAACTCTTAGAAGACATGCATGTGCATTCGGAAGAGAGTATTGTCAAAAAAGGTCAACCGATCTGCCTGTGCTAAGATAGATTGCAGAGCTATAATTGATCAAACAAAAGTAACAGAATCAGACAGAAAGAGCTCCCATTCTATCATGCTATTATGCTAATTGGTTTTAATAAATGTGTGTGGTTGCTACCTGGTCCAACAAATTATCCCGTGGCAAGCAGGCATAAGCACAACATACATCACGTTATTGATCAGTTTCTAACAGTTTAGCCATACAGGAACAAGTATGTACCTGACAGTTCTGACTAGCCTCAGCATTGTCTTCACTTTGGTTATCTCTCTGCCAGCAGCCCTTCATCCAACGGCCTGGACCTGGAGGGCTGCGGAAATGCCTGCCCTATTGCCACTTCCCCAATGGCCTTGGTAAGACAAGCCCCCGAGGAAGTGCAAACAGGAACCTTGCAAAGCGATTTGATAATGCCATAAAAGCAAAACAGCAAAAGTAAGATAACTGAAACTAAAACAAACCGGGTGTTGACCTTTGTACTCTGAGAAATATTTCCGCGTGAATGCATTAGGCACCTGAAGAATATCATAGTGATGTACAAGACCTAAGTACAAGGGTAACTCCTATAGTTCCTAAACTGCAAACATGTCAAAACTGGCACCATTCTGCCAGTCTCTATTATCTACAGGAACACTTCCCTCCCCTGAAAATGTGGAACCCAGACGAGTCCCTGACCGAGATCACTTTACCGGTGGCAGCAGAGGCGTGCTCCAAGAAAGAGTGGCAATCCCGCACATGCGGATGTTCTTCACCACACGGACGATCTGTCCAGGGCCTGCCATCAGAAGGCCATACATTGACGCTTAGCTTCACGCTGTGGTACATCAGAAAGTGCCTCTTCTGGTACTCCTCGACGTCGTGCAGGACGAAGGTGGTGTCCGGCTCGTACCCATCCTTTATGCACTCAAGGATCAGCACATCCAGGCCGGGCGATATGTCCCTGGACTGTGGGTGTGCTCTATCCCGTCGCGAAAAATGAATGGACCATGTTGCCGTGAAACGTCCAGCTCCTTGCTGGGATCTTGCGCATACCCTTTTCACGCATCTGTAGCCTTGTGTTCTCAGAGGAGTGCCACCTTGCTGATTCAGATAGCAGGTTTGAAGTCAGCACGTATGTGGATGGGTCTTGTGGCTCCAATGCCAGCAGATGCTTTATGGCTCGCCTCCACACGGCCATGTTGGACTGCTTGCTGCAGCTGTCTAGCAAAGACCGCCAAACTAATGCATCAGGCTTCAATGGCATACAACCTATAAGCTGCTCTGCCTCACAAAATGGCCCCAGCAGCCAAGGACATAAACAAAGGCTGCATAGTGCTCCATGGCTGGTTCAATGCCATATGTGCTTCGCATAGAAAGAAAGAGTTCCCTGCATTTCTCTGTGGAGTCTGAGCTTGTGTGACTGCAAGCAGATATGACCAGAAGAAAGGTAATGGAATCAGGCCTGATCATTAATCTCTCCATCTCAGACCATATCTTCAATATCTCATCCCCCTGATGAAGAAGAAGATGGGCAGTGACCATTGCATTCCATGACACCAAATCTCGACAAGTCATCCGCTCAAAGAAATTGGCCGCATCTTTCAACTCCCCGCACTTGCCGTACATACTAATAAACGCGTTACCAACTCCACGAGCGCACAGAAGCCCAGATTTTGCAGCAAAGGAATGCAATTGCTTTCCAAGTTCAGCAAAACCTAGACTGCCACATACCCCAAGGACAGCAGTCAACATGAACTCATCGATGAATTCTACACCACTGCTTCTAAACATCTGAAGGAAGGTCGAAAATGTTTTCTCATACTCACCATCTCTGACACTAGCCAGCAGTAGAGAATTCCAGGCAATGTGAAAGCTCTCCTCATGCTGCCATTGCTCAAATAACAGATGTGCGTCTCCAGATCGGCCACATTTGATGCACATATCAATCAACACAGCATCAATCCACGGACTAGACATGCATCCACACTTGATCACAAAAGCATGAACCTGCTCGCTCGCCTTCCTATCCGCAGCAATAGCACAGACATTCAGCACGCCCGTCACCGTGACATCTGAGATCTCCAGCCCATCCTCCACCATTTGCCTAAACAAACCGAGACCTCGGAGGCCCGCCTTCTTGGCAAACGTGACGCGCACGCCTTCCTTTTTCCGACAAAACCCAGTGGGAACCGCATTATATGTAACGAAGTTCCTCTGCGGCATCCATTCAAACACGTCCAGTGCCATGTCGACGAGACCGAACTCCATGTACCCATTCAGCAGACAGGTCCACGAAATCACATCCTTCACCGGCATCCTCTGGAACACGCTCACCACATCCGCAACAGAGGCCCCATGCTCCGCGTAGAACCCCCGATGAGCGCGTTGCCCACGCTCAGGTCCGTCTCCAGCCCCGACTTGAGCGACAGAGCATGCACGGCCTCGCCCTGGGGCTGGCCAAACCCCTGGCCCGCCGTGGTGAGGAGCGCCGACAGGGTGAACCTGTCGGCACAGACGTCCCCGCTAGCCCGCATCTCGCCGAACAGCTCGAACGCCTCCTCGTGCCGCCCCAGCTCGACGAGCCCGGCCAGGACGGCGTTCCACGACGAGACGTCGCGGTGGTCCATGCCGTCGAACGCCCTCATCACGTCCCCGAAGCGGCCGCACTTGACGTACATGCCGAGGAGCGCGTTGGCCACGAGGAGCGACGAGGCGTGACCGGACTTGGCGGCGAGGGCGTGCACCTGCGTCCCGAGGCGCGGGTTGCCCCTGCGGGCGCAGGCGGTGAGGAGGCCCACGAAGGTGTACTCGGTGGGGAGCAGCCCGTCCGCGAGGCGCATGCGGCCGAGCAGCTCCGCGGAGGCGGCGGTGGCGGAGCCGGAGCCGCCGGCGAGGCGCGCGTGGCCCGAGATGAGCGCGCTGTAGGAGGCGGCGTCGCGCGCGGGCATCCGGTCGAACACATCCCGCGCGTCGGCCAGGCGGCCCGCGCGGAGGTACGCGCACATGACGGCGTTGGCGGCGCGGGCGTCCGGGGAGGCGCCGAGCACGCCGGACTTGACCGCCGCCGCGTGCGCGGCGCGGGGGTCGGCGGCGGCAGCGGCCACCGCGCGGAGGGGCAGGCGGGGAGGGGCCCCATGGGGAGGCGGAGGAGCGGACGGCGCGGGCGGGAAGGAGAGGAAGGTAGGGGCCGGGGAGGTGAGGTGGAGCGGGGCAGGGGCGCGGAGCTAAAGGTGACCCGGACCGGAGGAGCTCCCTCCATTGACGCGTCGCGCGCTGGGGCGTCCATGGAAAGGGATGAGCCCCGGCGTGGTGGGCTTAGTAGGTGGACCGGCCCATAAGACGAAGCCCTGCCCAGCTCCAGGATCGTATTGAGCCAAACTGTTTTCTAGTATTACTTATTAAATACTTAGTCATTTTGTCTCTCAAAAAAATACTTAGCCATTCTGTCTCTCATAAAAAAATTTTAAGGTGAACTGATCGTAGGTCAGTTAGTGGGTTCCTTGCGGAGCTGTGGTGAAAACCTGTCCTCCACCCGGACTCAAAGATCTTGCATTTCATTGACACCGAATCAGCATTTTCTTAGAATTATTTCCTGATATCCTCGAAAGGTTTCGTCCAATCCGGTATTCGTGCACGCACTCGGCAGGTGCTCTCTGATTTCTCTTCAGTTTTGCATGTCTTCTCTCTACACTAAAAAGCCTTGAAAGGAAGGTTTCGTCCAATCCGGTATTCGTGCGCGCGCTCGGCCAAACAAGATGGAAACACGGATCAAAACAAGACCACCGGGAGAGATAAGACGGAAATAAACTAGCTGGAAACATGTACGCACACGATTGTGCGCTATCGCGAACAGGAATCGTCTGCATCCCTGACCTCCTACGTTGCATGCCCACATGCAAAATAATACTATACGGATTCCAAATCAATCATGCAGGGCCTACACACTACGGCAGGCAAGGATGCCGGTGAGCACTTGCTAACATTGTTCCGTAGAAGATTAAGTTCAAGAAAAATTACCACAAGATTGCTAAAAAAATGGTAATAACAACATGTTCGTACTTGTATTATAGTGATAACTTTTTCCCGTTGATTTTGGGCTAGTTTGATGGAACTAAATATCGTATTTCTTTGAGGTCATGTTGCATTCTGAACAAAAAATGGGGCGGACAAGATGTGGTGTTGCAGAACAAATATGAGCTTTCTCAAAATTTCTCTTTTGGCTTTTATATCAGCGATTTCAAACTTTTGGGATGACACCAACACCAAGACATGACCATTATTCAACGTCACCAGGACACGTCGATTGATCCGGTTACAATGCAAGAGTAGGAGTACTTGAAAACTAATGTTTGTGCCAGACAGCCGCCGGCTGAAGTCGTTAATTAAGGCCCTCTTTGGAGCTCAGGAATAGAAAAAACGTAGGATTTTGGTAGAAATACATATGCAAAACAGATGATTGAGAAACACGAGAAAAGTAAGGAGTACACCCTTTGGATAGAGCACAGGAAAGGAATTGGAAAGATATAGATAAATTATTGTAGTCATACAGAATTGATCTTTAAATGCTCCATTTGCACGCACCCTAAACCCTTTGCATTAGTGGCGACAGGCACATTTGCCTCCATCCTACACGAAGGGGATGAGAAAAATGAGGTTCAGCTGGATGTTTCTTTTCCTACAGTTTTCCTTTGAAATGAGCGGCATAGGAAATTTTCCTTCAGCTTTCCTATGGTCCAATCCTCCATTCCAAAGGCATGAACAGTCTCAATCCTATAGGAAATGGAATCCTCTATTTTTCCTATGAAAATCCTTGAATCCAAAGGAGCCCTAAACATTTTCGTCAGGAGCAGGAGCAGGACGCCTGAGGGCAGGTCCAGTGCAGGCTAACACTGCCAGTGGTCTCAGTATAATTAAAGTGAACCATGTAGACTAGGAGATATTAATACTACTATTCACATAATGTAAACCACCGTGTCTTTTCTACTTGTCCACCTTGCTTTTTTCTTTCACCATGCACCATTTTTATCTCTCTCTCCCTGTTCTTATCTTGCATGGACCACATTCTCTCTCCAAAGCATATGTAGCTTCACGCAACAATGACACATGTAGAGCACCTACTTTTTGTACAACATGGCATCCGAACCTAGCTGGACCTTAAAGCCACTGCTGAGGCTACTGGCATTGGGGTAGCCCTGATAAATCGCTGGAGGCTCCATTCCCGACGCAAGCTAAACAAACCGCCCGGTCTCATATTAAACAATATTCCATGTTCCATAAAGATAATAGTAATTGTAATTAAAAAGGAATAGGTTGGATGCTTCGTGGCTTATGTCAGTTGAGGACTGTCCATTGTAGGTTTGTGTGTGTGGTTGAGCTTGAACGTACTACCGCATGCCCTTGGTAAGCCTGAGTACCTCGTCTATTTCATTATGGGCCTGTTTGTTTACCTGGCCAAGGGTGGATGGCCCGTTTGATCTGGACCAGGCTGCCATGGGGCAGGCTGATTTTGTGCAACTAGCTGTGTCTGTTTAACATGAGCTGGTGTTTGTTTGGCTGCACCAGTTGTTTATGATCACCTTGCACTAGAACTAGGTAGAATTACCACCCACATCTTCACCCAAGTCGCCTCTTCTTCACCGAAACAGGCAAGCAACTGCTCAACCTTCTCGATGAATCCATGACCGAACAAAATAAATAATGAATTGTAGAACACCATGGTTACCATTACACTGACAATAATTCACCGGCATGCACATAAGTTGCATCCGTTGTATGTGATTGCAATGCCACGTCGTCCTACGGTACATGGTTTACTGAGCTTGATTTGTTGGAACTAAATTTTAATCCACGTAATCAAGTTTCACCTTCCCAAATTCAAGTACAGAACTTACTAGAAACCACAAAAACAAGTGAACTACAACCAAACGCACTTACCTGAGGTCTGGTCTTCGTAGACATTTCTACAAACACGTTGCAAGCATGCTCCACCCACACGTCTTCCTCACCGTCAAACGCTTGCTCGTTCTCATGCTCCACCCAGCTGTGCCTCGATCCGCCTCCCTGACCCGACGCGCCAAGCTGGATATGGATACACGCGCGCCAGCTCCAGCCCCGTGCGCAGGCAGTCGCACACGGCGCGCACCAGCGCGTCCACGTCCGCGTCGTGCCGCCACAGCTGCGACGCTCGCGTCCGCCGCCGGAACCTCGGCCAGCTGGCCGCTCGTCGACGCCGTCTTCCGGTCCACGGCCGGCGACCGCATCCCCGGGAGAGGCTGGAGCGGCTCGTTGTAGTGCGTCCGAGCGGACCCGTCGCCTCTTCGCGTCGTCCTTCTTCGAGAGGCCGGCGTCGAACCCGACGCACGCTGCGGAGGACGGCGCCTGGTCGCCGGAGCGAATTTGACGATGGGGGTTGGTAGCGGCGGGGAAGGGTGAAGAGAAGGGAGCTGACAAGAATTCCACCGGTCGCACGCAACGCGCCCACAGGAGCCCACACGAGCCTGGCTCCAGATGAACGAATTTTTTTTTTCGTTTCCCAGGGCCAGGGCCAGCGATGCTACAGCCCATGTTGTAGCCCACGGGCACAGTGACCCTGCTGAGCCAGGTAAACAAACACACGCTATGTGAGCTGACAAAGGACGTGGAATGATAGTGGCGTGTACTGTGCTCCCGGACATTGCGAACCAATTCATGTTTTGGAAGATACGACAGAAATGGTTGATATACGTTGGTATGTCCAAGACTTGAAAGAAAAAAAAAATAATCACCTGTTCGTTTGTTGGTTTCAGCCAGGCTTATTCAATCAGTCAACGGTGTTTTTCTCTCATAACAAACCAGCACCAGCCAGCCCACAAACCAACCAACGAACACGCCAAATATATATGAGCTTTCAACGATTTCTCTTACGGAGACTGACCAAGGCTCGGTTGGCTAGCTGCGCCAGCGTGCGAGCAGCCCACCCCAGTTTGATCCCTGATCAACACCTCGCACGGATGGACTACATCGTGTTTTTGAAGACTAGTTAGGTTTTTGATCTAGTTGTGTGCGTGCATGTGGTTGTAGTGTGTGCTGGTGTATGAGTTCAGAAACTATAATTTGTACTTAAAGTGTCCACTGGCCACCCCGGCAGCAGCACTGGCCACCGCCGGAACCACAGCGGCACCCCGGCAGCAGCACTAGGCGGCTGCGACATGCCACTGTCCACTGGCCACCAGCGTACATTGCAACATGTGCAAAATCCGATCTACTTTTAAAACATAAAGATAAAAATTTGTAACATATAACTGAAACACATGAAACATTTCAAATATAATCTTAAAACATGTGTGTATAGCTATAGCAATATATGCAACATCCGGATCCACTTTTGCAAAATAAGTCTGAAACATCTAAAACACATAAAAATAAACACTTGAAACATGCGTGTGCAGCCATAGCAAACATATGCAACATCCAGATGAAAACACTTGAAACATGCGTCAAAAACAATTGAAACAATTTGAACATAGTAGGCTTGAAACATGCATATATTGTCAACATCTCATATCTACTTGTGCAACATCCAGATGAAACACTTGAAACATAAGACAAAAATGCCTTGAAAAACTTGAAACACAGCGTCGCCAGTGGACACAGCCTACCTGGTGGGAAACTCCGATCACCAGCAAGCTCAGGTTAGGGGGACGTCGAGAGCCAGCGTACACCTCAGGCGTAGCTACAGGCCTCCCCTTCCTGCCGAAGGGCGCGCTGGATATGGGTGCAGGCGCAGGCCTCCCCTGCCTCTCCTTCTGCGACAGGCGAGGTGGGTGGGGGCATGGCGCGGGGCGCAGAGCAGCGCGGGATGTGGCCGCGCCCGATGGCCGAGACAAAGGTAGGCGGGAGGCGCGACGCAGCGTGCTCACGGAGTGTAGTCACGGACTTGCGGCGCTGCGGCAATATTTTTTTTAAGAAATTGCGGTGCCAAAAATATCACAATTATGATAGCATTTCAGATTGAGAGAATTATTTT